GAATTACACCATTCTAGCTGTACTTGTAGAGAGGAAAAAAAAAAAGAATATGGGCCATCCTTGCTACATCCACACTAAAGCTACTGACATAAACATATTATCATATAGAAAAGTGTCCAGGCTATCTGTAAGCAATTCTATCAGCAATTTAGGGTGGTTTTCAATAGACAGCAGCCAGCCACAGACATACTCTGAGTACAGCATTTCTTGGGCTTGTTTTCCCCCCTGATGTCTATACATTTTTTTTTTATGAACAGAACTGAAAGCATAGCAAGAACATAGCAAGTAAAAGGAATGACAAAAACAAGAAGAGCAAAACCCCAAAGAGACAAAAGTACTACAAATATATATAWAAAATTTGATTTCCAAAAGAATTCCTGAAAGCTATATAAATGAAATAACTTTAAATTATAATCTAGTTTACTACTGTAATCTAGTTTACACTCTCAGCATTACTTRCCCAGGCAATATCCAGATTAGTCAACATTCTTTGCAAGAGTTTCTGAGTCCCCAACTATTTTGATTAGATTCTGTCTATGCTCAACAAATATCAAACACCACATTTGCAAGATTTATTCATTCATTCATTCATTCATTTATTTATTTTTGCGGGGGAGTTGTATAATTAGAGTAATGGAAATCACATATAAGCCCCACCCAAACTACTACAACCTACTGCACATGGAGCTAAATTAAGGAAACTAATTTACAAATATTTATTTTAATTACACTCAAATTTGAAATATTTTAGGAGGAAACTCTACAATACATTAGAAGATTAAGTTTAATTAATAACATAGGACATCYAAAGAGATGCTTACATTGTTATCCAACCCTATCTCCTTAAAAGGTGATTAAGATAAGTTATCTCATATTAAAGTAAAACTCATTCCTCAAATTAATTAAAATAATTCACATGCTTCTCCTTCTACCAATGTAATAATGTTATACCCTATCTCCAAATTCTTTTAATTAATTTAAATTGAAAGATCTAACTCCAATGATAATTTATTTAGCATAGAATACTTTTCAAAATGCTTTAGATTATAGAAGGTCACCAGTGACCAACACCATTGAGTAACGTGAGACAACTAAACTACAGTACTTAGAACTGTATTTCTGCCAGCAATTTTTAAAAGACTGAGACAACAGATTCAATGCTACAYAAAACTTGCAAAAACTCAGCTCATACAAACTTATACATTGTGCCAAGACACAATGTTCAGAGATACAGCAAAGCAATTTTAATTGCTTTAATAGATTCATAKATTCTTAATAAAAAGCTGTCATTGGAATAGCCTAAACAAGCGAAACAATCATTACCAAAACTTCAAACTGGTCAAGGAGAAGAAAGGGGACTAAGAAGAGCTCAGCTGGGTTTCTTTACCTTCCACTTCTCTAAGCTGGTGTCATGTATGGGCACTTCAGAGAGAGTCTGGAACGATTATGTCGGAATATATCATAGACAAAATTATTTCAGAGGGAAACAGACCTCTGATGACAGTTCTGGTTGTCCTTTTCACATATAGGCTCCCGATAAACAGGAGATTTAAATTGGTGGGAAAAACAGAAAATACTAAAATGGATAAATCACTTGCATTTCAGGAGAGAATGGTTTCATAAAAATAATTTTGGTAGCAAGAATAATTTAAGAGTCCTCTCCCTCCACATATTTACTTTCTGCTACGCTCTACAAGGTATTTTGCTGGTTATGTCAACGAGACTGCTTGGGATAATGCTGTAAGCTGAATCAGTGAAGTGAATTGGATGGGGGAAGGAAGGGAAGAAACAGCTGGTTTTTGCTCTTCTTTTTTTTTTAAACACTGATCATGAGATGTTTTATTTAAAAGAAAGCTGCACAGTGAATAGCAAATTGTAGGTATCATAAATACAATATTTCATTCAAAACAACATGTATCGTTGCTATCTAAGCCCTTTTCCAGTCAATTTATTTTTCCTTGAAGACTTTTTTTCAGGAGGGTGTGAGATTCTGACATGGTAAACAATATCAAACTGCCATGCAGATGGAATGAGAGAACTCCAAAGGCAGCGAATGGAATTCCTTGAAGTGAGAATACCTAGCGAGGCATGGAAACGTGGGAAGCCTATCCAAGGCTGTGTGCTTTTCACCACAGAACATATTTCCTCTAAAGGAAATTTTAAAAAAGAAAGAAAAAAATAACCCTCAACCAAACACAAAAGACAAACAAAACAAAAAGCAAAACCAGAGGAACAGAAGAAATTTCCACTGGAGCACCTGCAAGAAAAAAGTGCATTTTGTTCCCTGGTTGCTCCTGAGTAACAATACATGAGATGGGGAGCAGCGTGCACCTCTGTTGCCAACAAAGGATGTCATCCTCTGCTTTTCCCTAGGTAGCCTGATGGCATCTCCTCCCAGGCATGAGAAATCAGTAGCTGCCACAATCTCTCTGCAGAGGAGCTCAGATATCTTTGAATTACCCGGTGAGACCTCGGAAGAAACAAGTAGGTCTCTGAACACAGCATCACATACTGAGGCTGGCAAAGATGACACGCCGCCTTCTAGTTACTTGAGAGGAAGGGAAAAAAGAAGGAAAAAACTTTTCAGTTTTCAAGTATTTTTACATGAATTTCTAATTAAGATAGAAGTATTGAGAAAAAGAAATTACACACTTACATTTCAAGCATGAAAAGTAAAAATGAGGAAATTCATTTGATATTTCTTAATATTTGATTCAAAAAAATTCACTTAAAAAAGAAAAATTTCAGTTTTGTTATAATGAAAAATCACATTTTCAAAGAATATTTTCACATTTATCTAGCTCACTTATGCGAGAAACACATTTATAAAAACATTCCAGAAAATAATTCTTAGTTTAGAAATTCAAGTTTCTTTWAAAAAAAAGTGCTCAAATAAAAAACATTAAAAAGAAAAGATTATGAGTAGGTGTTTTGTAATAAAAGCAATATTCAGACACAGTGTTTTCAGGAAATTCTGCTACATTTTCCAGCCATAAAAATATTCTTTTCTTAATAAAAAATAAAGCAAATATGCAATTCTATTTCTTTTGGACTTCAACATTGATTACCATTTTTTCCTGTCTTTCAGCTCCCAATGACAAAGTTTTGTAGACGTCACACCATATTTCCTGAAGCCTTTTCATTCATAGAAGCAACAAGACAAGAGCATCCCTAGTCATGTTTGTTGCCTGAGAGAATTATTCAATGTATTTGCTAGCAGACAAACAGTCTGAACTGGCTAGCGCTGAAGAAAAACATCATAACCATAAAAYTGCAAGAATTCTGCTGATCTTCAGATCAAACAGCAATACTGTATTCTAAAAACACATTGGTAGGAAGTTAATTTCTACTGCGCTGTGAAAAACAAGGAACAGAATTTAAAGCTATCCCCTGTATCTATCCAAAGCTGAAAGCTTAAATCTTTGCAAAAATCTACCTGCTAAGAAGAGCAATAACTTTGCAGTATGGGCAGCTCTGTAACTGTAGCACCCTCTGCTGCTTTTTCAGTTCCAAAACATGTAATTTTACACTCAGCTAAGTAGAAAATAAAATTAACACATACTGAACATGTTGTTCCAAGTAAGAAAATGGTTACATTATTAACTAATGCTATGTGAAGTTTACAAGATTTTTTTTTTTTTTTGCTATTCTACATAGTAGATTATACAACTTTATAGTATAAAAGCAGATTGAAATATGTTACTTAAGTTTCTGTGTTAACATCGGGTACTTATTGGATGAAAACCCCCAAACACTTTGTATTTCCTTGCTTAAAAATTGGGCTTTACACACACCCTGTATCTTGCTTAGACTTGTGCCAAGTAGTAAGGAGGATTATAATTTGGCCCCTGATCATTTCACTGAAGTATAAAGGTAATCTGAAATGATCACTGCAGGGATATCATTATATCGGCATTTCAGTCTCGTTTCAGAACGACTTTCTCCCAGTAGTGAAAAACCTGACATTTGCGAAAGATCATTTTTAGAGAAATTCCCTATTTGGGACAGTCTTTTGCACAGGAGAGGGTCTTCTGCAAAGACAGACATGACACGTGGCTCCCCAAGGGGACTCACATCGTCCCATGGTGCCACCAGCAGCCCTCTGCCTTGGCTCTATGAGAGCTTTTAAAGGAGCATCTCATGACTGGAGAGAGTCTTTGGATGTACCATCTATTTAACAGATCACATACTCCTGTCTAAAGTGAGCACACTGATTCCTTCCTCCATTCCGGCTGTCTTTCTCCTGCCTCCACGTAAATCTAGCAGCTGAAGGCCAGAGCACTCTGCACTGCAGCCTTCCATGTGAATAATTCATGCACAGTGCTCGTATGCAAACTGCGTCCTCACAAAAGCTGAATAAAATGTGTATCCAAAAATGTTCACATGTTTAGGGGAAGTGAAAACTAATTCTGGTTTGTGATTTAAGTTTTTTTTTTCTTTTTTTCCATGCCATTGTAGCCATCTTACAACAAAAATTCATCTTTTGACATATTTTTGGAAAAGACAGAATTTAAATTCAGGCACCAGGTTTGAACAAAAATTTGTACAGACGCAATTTCCAGAGTTAACTTGAGAACCTTCAATACACCATTTACTGCTACAAATTATTTCCATTTTTGCCTTGAAGTGCTACTGGTACAAAGCCACACTTTTGTAAGCAGGCACAAGTATTCCTCAAAAGTCGCTTATTGATATTTTATATAATGCTGCCAGCTAGTGGCACATCTTGTACTGAGTTTACGTCTGTCGAGAAAGTGGTAGTAACTGTACCAAGCATCTTTTGATAGTGCATGGTAATGTGGCTGTTGAAAGACTATATGCAAAAACATCCCAGGAGCAAAGCATGGAAATCAAGAAATGCTTTCTGAAAGAGCTAGCTTTAATACCAGTTAGTTAGGATCATTACTGGAAAGCTAGGATTATTACCAGAATAAACATCTATCATATTTGAAACCAATGATTCTGTTCAAAAATTTTATATGTAATTTGTCAGCTTTTACAAAAGATTTTCTCTACAAGTATTTAATACACATATTTCATAATCTAATAATCTGCATCACAACATTTTTTCTTCTCCATAAATATCTGATGTGGGAGTGAAAACAAACATGCAGAACATTAGTAAGCTGTTTATTATTAGTAGTAAAGAATGTCATTCCCTTGAATACTTATATAGCCCTTAGATATTAATCAAATCCAACACACATTCCCATTAGAAAACAGCTCAAGAATATATTTTGAAAAAATTTCTTTAACAAATTGACCTTTTCTTAGTAATAAAATTCCAATGTTTACTGAAACTTAACTCTGGAGTACAAAGACTGGAGTTTGAGAGGAAACTTTCAATCTCAGAACTGGATTTATGCCATAGCTTTGACAGGGAGGAAGACACACATGCACATTTCTTGTGTATTTGGCAAACTTTCAGAGACCCCCAGCTTTATTCTTCAAGTTCAGTTATCTGAAAACATACCAACCAACATGAGAAATATGGTAGGAATTATCAAACAAGAATTACATGTATACATATACATACATATCTATATATGTAAACTATATAATAGTAATTATTCATTACATCAAAAGTATTTCATCATTTCTGCTTGGCTGATTCTCCACAACCTACCACAGTTCTGTAATTAAAGCCTATCAATAGTGTAGAACATTTTGTTCATAAAAATACTTCATAACTAAGAATTAAAGCCCTACTGGGTCAGACATTGAAGGTCCACTGATGATTTACCTTCCCTTAGATTAATGTGGCCAGTGAGCATTGCTTAGGTAAGACAGAAGACTGGGAAAAGCGTGTTGTTCTACTGCCCCACTAGTGCTCCCAATATCCAGTGTCTTCAAAGACCTAAGTGATGGCTTCGCGTTTAAGAGCTCCAATAATTTTTTTTCTTTCACAAAGCTTCCTGATTTTTTGGGGGACCCAAGTGATCTTCCAAGTTCCAAAGTGTTCTGTGGCAAGGAGTTTCACAACTTGACTCCACATTTTCTTTTGTTCTTTTCCTTTTTCTGAACCTGCCCTCTCCAAGATAGAAGTATCATTGGATGCTTCCCCTGTTCTCACCCTGTTTCTCAGATAACCTCTGATGAGCACTGAGACAAATCAATGGATTAAGCTGATTTTTTGTCCAACCTAATTCAGTTGCTCTCATGTTTCCACTACAGTTAAAGAATCAAGAATAATTATTCTGCACTGGGAAACTTGCAGGTGTAACACATAAAAGTCTGCTATATAAAACAGTCTTAACACATTAAACACTGTAGTAGGTAAATGTGTATTTCTGATGACAGCAGTGGTGTTTCTCAGACGGCACTGAAGGCTAATACAATAATCTTATGTTGATACAATTAGACTTCTGTCAATATAGTACTGTATTTAAATAAGCAATGACTTACAGACATTCCCTGTGTTGTCAAAACTGGTAAGTACATCTTCAACATTTAAAACTCCATTGTGAAATCTAAAAGACAAGAAAATTAATAATTTTACCACCATATAAATAATCAAAAACTGTGTTCCCTCTTCAGAAGAGAGGTTCCTGGCTTGTGTTCATTTATCACAAACCTCCTCACAGACATGTAATGAACTGGTATTATTTTAGCCACCAGGGGGAAAAGAACTGAGACAACCAGCCTTCAAAATATCCATGACTGAAAAGTCACAAGCATAGAGACTGCTCTCTAAAAAATTTATGCTTTAAGTCTCTCTCTCTCTCAAAAAAAAAATTCTCAAAAAGAAGAAATTCATGCATAGTTAGGGAAAATCACATATAGTAAAGAGGTAATTTTGGAAAACCCAGTTCTTTTAAGAGGAAAAACAAAAGCCTGTATTTTGAACAACTGTACAAGCATCCCTACTCCCTCCCACAAAATCAGTAACGTTCCATTTAATTAATGTGAACAATGAAACTGATTAATGTGTTCAGTGAACTGCATTTCTCTTGGTTTTACATTTGCATAACTCAAGTGACATAAACATTCAAAAACTGGGGATAAATAATGAATTAATTGAATTTCACACACCACATTTAAACTTCAGAACAGAGGCAGCAAATTACTGACTGCTGCAAAAAGAACATGCAGCTAAGTTCAATAAAAAATTGTCTAAGACACTGTCTGTATTCATGTAAATGTTACAGATAGCAGGCTAGTTGTAATCACATACAAAAGAGAAAAAGTGCAAATAAAGCTTTTTATTACATATTACAAATTAATCTAGTCTCAAGACAAACAAAATAAAGAAGTTGCATCCCTGGCTAGCCATTAGATCACATAGATGTTTCATGAACGAATTAAAAGTTCTAAAAAGAATTCAGCAAGGCGGTAAAGTACCAAAATATAGTCTTTAATAATCTTAAAAATATGGCTTCCATAGCTGTTTCCATTTTAAACTGGAACATTTGAAAAAAAAAAAAAAAAAAAGTGGAAGGAATCTAACAGCTCTGGGATTTACAAAATAGTTCCTTTCTTTTCTGAAGAAAGACTGATGCAATAATAACAAAATCTTTATTTTTTTAAAACATAAAAATGTGAACTCAGAGCGCAAAAAAATATATCTTCTGAAAAGCATAAGTCTTAAAAAAGCATTTAAATATGAATTTTTGAAAAGTTAAGCAAACAGCAAGAAGGCAAGCTCTTAAAACAAAATGAAATTAAAATTGAAATGAGGTCAACAGAAATTGAAATGACAGCATTAATAAGGTCAAGAAAAAAATCTCAGATACAATAAAAGCAACATTCAATTGGTCATTACAGCTTTTCTTCCATCTATATAAAAACAACCCAAAAATTCATTCCTTAGTTGTTCTAGGGGGTCAAAGTCTATAAAAATTTTTATAAATCACCTTGACTAAAAATGTAATTTGAGGAAGGGAGGAAATTCATTTCCAATGAGATGGGCCAACTCATGCAATTAAACCTGTAATTGAATAGTCACTAGAGTTAATGCATGGAAGTGAGAGGGAAGTGGGTAAGATCAGTAGCAGTGGCCTGATCAGTTCTGCGAACAAGAGCTGCTCTCCAAATTGTCCCCTGCTGACAATTAGCATCCTCCTAACAGCATTACCATGCATCTCTCTAGCATAGTTAGGGTCTCTTGAATGGCTTAAAATGTCTGATCTCTAAAGGAAAGAAGAACTGAGGGAGGAAAAGAGTAGCAGAGAAAGCAAAACCAGTATTTTGATCTTTGATCACACACAGGTTAGTCCCGAACAAAACGTTATTTCATTTTTTTCTGATTTCTAGGTGTATGTAGTCCATATACAAAGCAGGTATCATGCCAATCTCCAATCAAAACAAAGATGAAGATGAACAATTTAGCACTCCAATAGCTGTAGTTCAACCAAGTGCTATAAGAAAGAAAAATTGAAAGAAACAGCATATCCAGTCTAAAAAAGAATACAATTTATACATTCCAGAGACATAAAAAAGACAAAAGCAAAAAGAAAAAATGATACAAACTTAATACTGGCTTTAAAATTATTACTCAATCAAATTTTAGTCTGTTTCCAAAATAATCCTTTGTAACTGGAGAAGACAAGTTGATAACCTTGAGTATCTCAGCTTTAAGCAAAAGCTAAGATTCCACAACAGATATATGCCACACATATGCCATATGTCACAACACATATATGCCATTAAGATTGTCCTGATTTTTTTTTTTTTATGCTTTATTTACATCAAGGAAAATTTTCCATCTACATCGATTATTTTCACACTCATCTTTTGTTTAAGGATCAGTTCTCTTTCTGATTATAAAACATGCCGTGCAAAAATAAAACCAATATACACAGAAATTTTGGAACACATTCTTATATTTATTATTCAATGGCTAGAAGCTTGTGGCCTCCAAGCACAAGCAGGAGACAAGCCCATGAAGGGGTCGGAGCACAGACCCTGTGAAGAGCAACTGAGGGCACTGGGGTTGTTCAGTCTGGAGAAGAGGAGGCTGTGGGAGACCTATTCCTCTCTACAGCTACCTGTGGTCTCTTCTCCGGAATAATTGCCTATAGGACAAGAGGAAATGGCCTCAAGCTGCACCAGGGGAGCTTCAGGTTCGATGTGAGGAATAACTCCTACATGGAAAGAGTGGTGAAGCATTGGAATAGGCTGCCCAGGGCAGTGGTGGAGTCACCGYCCCGGGCAATGTTCAAGAAACGTGCAGATGAGGCACTTGGGGACATGGTTTAGCAGTTATGGTGTTGAAGGGCTTACGGTTGGACTTGATGATCTTGAAGGTCTTTTTGAACCATAACAGTTCTATGATTCTAAGCCAAGTCTCTTGGTCAGCAGAGGAATTTTCCCACCCTTCTCTGCAGACTCTTCCTCTGCTTTTTTGCCTCAGTACTTGTTCTTGCTCTCACAAATACTGTTAAAGTAAGTAGTTAAATGAGCCACAATTTAATAAGAAACATCCAACTTTTGTCTGAGGAACCTCCTCCTTCTCAGTCTTCCCAATGTCTACTTTACACTCATGAAACTGCTCAAGGTGTAAATTTTCCAGGTACTTCATTTCATCTGATCCATTTCTGAACCCTTCTCTGAACCAAAGCAGAGATCAAGCTGAATCTCCTAGAAAGGGAGGAGTAATCAACCAGCAATCTGAACTGCAACTCTCATTTACCCCAGAAAACACATCTCGGGTCTTACAGATACTATTACGGACTATTTTATACTATTCCACATTAAAGATGCATTTCTGAAGTCAGGCAGATGATAGGAGAATACTTCTTCCTGATGATAGTTTTCTCCCTGCACCAGACTAAGGAACAGGTTCTTAAATTCCACCGGTAACCACTTAACATGCTGGGAACCAAACCAAGGGARGAGATCTTGCCATGACTTCCATTGCATTGACTGCCAAGTTTAATGTTAGGGGACAGCAGCATGGCAACAGTTGATGTGCTTGTGAARAGGGGAGGTCATGGAGACAAGCTTCCAACTGGAACCAGTCACACGTTTTTCCATTCCAAGCTCTATTTGCATAGGCTGGAGGCAACTGTACCAGCTGCTTTCCAACTCTTTCCCATCACAAATCTGAGTTGCAGGCTAAAAGTTACATGCATTGGTATGGCTGAGGCATTGACAGTTACAGAAGACAAATCTATGAATCATAAACTAATTTAATTCACATTTCTCCTGATATGAAACAAAACAAAATGTCTTAGTTTGGACTATGAAGCAATTATCTTTGTATATATAAGGTTATATATTATATATGTGTATCACTATCAATTGTCATTGCAGCCCAGTTTGAATCTGGGAAAAAATACATGAAAAAAAAATTGTATCTAATCAGATCACATTTTTTTCTGGGCCAGAGTAGAACAAGATGAGATAAAATCCCTTTTCATTCCAATTGAGGTCTTAATTTAATATGATAAGCTACTCAAATAATAGCTCCTTTGTCTACAAATTATTTTTTAAAATATGCAAGTCTTGGACAATACGATGGAATAGTCTTAGYTTGATCAATGAATAAAACAGGTGTCTTTGCCAAATTACTTTTTATCTTTCCTCAAATAGGTTGGCCTATGGCCAAGCTTTTGTGCTGCTTTATCCATACACTTTAGCAAGCAAGCAAGCATCCTTTAGCAAGCAAGAAATGGAAGAGAAAGATTATCATATTCTTACAAACTGGCCAAAAAGAGCAGAAAATATTCCTCGATACCCACATCTCTTCATTCTATACACTTACATTTAAAGAAAAAAAAAAAAACAGAAAAACTTCCATATATTATTAGAAGAAATACCCTATAGGAATATCCAATGGTATTCACTGTAAGCCATCTTCTAATGAATCACTTACCAAGGACAAATACTACACCTCTCATTTCTAAACCAAAGGTCTAGAATTATCTAATAAATTTCTTTCATATTTTTATCTGAAGGTTTGTTTCCAGAATAAAGGCATAACATCCTGCAAAGAACACTTAATGCTCTTTAAAAAGATTTAACCCTTCCTGTAAGCTGCTGAAATTGTTCTATACAGCTTTTCATTTTAGTATTTGGAGTACCAAATTACTGATCAATGAAAAACATTTTACCAGAAAAATAGCCTATTTTTTTCTCTAATTGCTTAAAATGAGCCTACAATTTTAAAGTAAATCCATAGCCTGAAGWAGAAAATTTAAAGATATCGAGTGTTTCTTTTTAAAAACTACTCAAATAAAAGGATAATTTTCCTATTTAAAAGACAGACACCCTGGCCATGGCAAGACACTAAGTCTTCAGACTCTATAATCACTTCATTGATAAAACAATTCAATATAAATTTAAATTTAAATTTAAGAGTATAGTCTTGATTAAGTAGATGAATTTGCAAATATAATGCTGTACATGTTAAAGGTAGTAATATATTTTAAAATGATTTTGTTAGCTATTTATATTCCTCTTACCAATAAAACAAATACTTAACACATTGACCAGCACAGTGAAATACCTCCGAAATTAGAAAGAACTTAAACAAAACTAAGAGAAAAATTTATAAACTTCATAAATAGAATCACATTTATTATGGGTAATGGATCTAGAAGGCAAGAAATAAACATAAAAACTTCATATATACAAAGGATCTAGAAGGCCAGAATGTGTGTGTGATGAAAAGTACGTTTTTTTTGCTAGAAACATCATTCAAGGCAAGATTTATATGTCACCCATAAATCAGATTATTTTTGTTTAATTTATACAAACCTGAATGTGAAAACTGCACCAAGATCRTGTATGTGTACTTGTAATGTGTACGTCTGTCTAACTTCTCCACATTTGACTGTCATAAACATACRGACAATTCACAATCTGGTTTACTGGAAAAATTTAGGGATCTATTTCTTAACTAACAATAGGCTCAAACCATGCTAGAAAGYAACTGCCTGTGTGCAGCCACTCAATTCATATCACCATGTCCAGGACCTATCATAGGAACTTAAACTCAGATACAAATTTAAATGAGACCAGACCAATCAAGCGAGATTCTATATTGTAACACAAAAAATCTATTTTTGACAGAACTTTTCACTGATAACAATAACAGCAAAAATCACATGCATCAGAGGCATGTTTCCATATCCTAGAGTTACAGCAGAGAACCTCAGCACTGACAACGTTACACAAACCTCAAGAAACTAATTCCTATCACGAACCATGGATCTGCATTTTGCTAGCCATCTGAGATGTCACAGATTAACCAGAAGAAAGCTATGAGGGGAATTTAATGTGGATTTTTAAAACAATCCAATAATCTTCTTGCTTTAAGAATCTAACCAAAATGACACATAAACCCATAGCTACCTAAATATTTTAAGCTAAAATTTGACCTGGTGATTCTGGCTTCCTGCTCTGGAAAATTCATCATCAATAATGATTCTCCCCAATAAACTAGCAACAGAAAAGCATCATATAAACTCTTCTTTCTCCAAATGCGAATCCAAATTGAATTTGGTTAGGAAAAATAGCAGCTTATTCAACTAGCTGTTTTGAGAAGTTCAGGAAAAACATGCACATGACAAGTAGCTCCTACTGGAGCTTCTGTTGGCCTAAGAGATCGGTCCCCAAGTCTCTCCAGGGCAGTAATTCCAGCTAGGTCATAGCATATCTGAATACACAATTTGATAAGTTTTGATAGCTCTTGAACTGATACAGCTTGACCTTTAGACTTTTTGCCAAAAGCCACTACCAACCTTATGAACTTTCTGAAGTATTTAGTCTTGTCAAGATATTAGAAGACAGCCCTTTTAGCATCCAACATACGCAACGGGCTTTCTTGAGATGTTAATGCATGAAGAAAGCATATGTAGATGAAAATTCAAATGCATTTTTGTCAAGATTTTAAAACAGTCATAGAAATCTTGTTTTTCCCTGTCAAAATTACAATTTATTGAATTACAATTAATTGAAACAATTGTTTCAATTAATGAAAAGAAAAATAATTAATATTTTGCAAATAGCAAGAGGAAAACAAAGGAAAGAATTGGGCATACAGAGGAGCCTTAAGTTTCCAAAGACCCAGAACACTCACAGGTTTTTATCAATAGTTGTAGACACACAGGTTTCAGCAAGGAATATGTTGGGTTGTTTGGGCTGTTAATATTTAAGATCTTAAATAACTGCTTCTGAGAAAACTGGGAAGTTACCTCATTAAATAAAGACTTAAAATAAAGTAGATTTTCGTTGCAGGAATTTATACTTTTGCAACRGACACAGCGAGTATTTTCTCCTGTTTCCCCATCCTCTGGTATTTTGACATAAGAAGTATATGCTATGTATTGTCATTGGGTCAAAATAGAAATAAAACATTTTAAAAGTATAATTATTAGTATTTTTCTGATCATTATCACTAAAATTATCACTGTGGTTATCAGTTAAGGAACATTGAGTATTTATTGAAAAGGAGCAAAATGTGAGGAAAAAGAATGCCGTCCAGAAGACRCTGCGCCCATTGTCCTCAGTAGTTTCGTGAGCAGGCTGTAGCACACAAGCAGTGTACGTTTCTGCAAGCCAAGCTCAGAGAACCATAAAAGGTACAAACCAGAACCCTCACATTCAAATTTCTATTCAGTGCTCATCAATAATACATTCACACATAAACAAACACGCTTGCTTGCAACCTACCATTTGAGCTGTGTGCTGTCTCTTTGTGCAGTGCCACCACTAGCCAAGCTACAAATACCAGCAGGATGACATGGAAGTGAAGGGAACACAAGTGCACAAATATTAACCCTGAGAGCAAGCCCCATGAGACACAACTTTGGCTGTTACACTGCCAGCACTGGCGAACCTTAGCCTGCCTCCTACCTTAAGACTCTTATCTGTAACTAGTAGAGCAAGTAAATGACACTGAACGTTACAAATCATTGTAGTGGATTAAGGAGCCTGAATGAAGAAGTTAAGGATTGCGACCAGGCTTGCTTCACCTAAAGCATGGCTCTGTTCCTTATATTTGCTATTATGTGTGCCTCCAAAGATGTAAAGCCAGGGTATGGATACCACACAAAGAGATTAGCCGGACTGTGATCATCTGGCTGAATCCCTAGGTTCCCTGACGGTTCACTGGAAAAGTCTGTAGGCAAAAAAATCGGTACCTGTTTCTACTGCAAATAAATGACATTTTCAAAAGAAAACTTTTCTCTTGAAGCTTTTTAGCATTAGTAAGTACAAGCATGGAAAATGGAAAAATATAAAGCTTTAAGCAATTTGATATTTGGCTTTATACCCAGTGGCAAATTTAAGACAACCCCCATGTGAAGCGATTTTTTTTTTTTTATAACCTTGCAAAATGTCACAGTTAATGGTGGTCACTTGTTTGTRTTAGACCTTAGTCTCTAAGAGTGACTTCAATTTAAAGGTCTCAGTTAAATAAAAATGCACTTTACAATTTCAGCAAGTCAGGTCTCCCAAAAATCCTCCGCTGTGCACAGAACATAAAATCCTACACCCTCAGCAGGGCAAATTAGAGGCTGCAAAGCAAGCATTAGTTCAGGGATGCTCAAGTTGCTGTTGTAATGATACCTGTTGAGGCATGAATAAGTTACAGATATGTTCAAAACTGCACAAGGAAAAGGAGACAAAAGCAGGAGAGAAGGAAAAAGAATCGCAGAAATGAATGGACAGAGTTATAAACTTCTCTGTACTGCAAAAGCTACTCAGAAATTGTTAACACTTCCTTTAGAGTTGCCTTTGTTCTGTCTTTTAATACTGATCTCATTTGTTTTAGCTGATAAAACAGATTTCTTCATTAGGTACAAATGCTGTCTGTAAGAGCAGGAAATTCTTTTACTCTTCTTTTGCAAAAAGTAACTTCCAAATTATTATTTATTAAGTTTTATAAATTGAGAATTATTAAGAGGACTATTGGAAAAAAAATGCAGACCACTATCAAAAATATATCTAAACCTTTAGAACAGTATGAATAACATCATGTCATTAAAATGTCTTATTAAGATAAAAAGTAAATTTGTTCAATTTTATTACTTCCTATTTATATCAAGAGAAATTGAAAAATCAAATCAGAAAGTTATTAAAGACATTAAATAAACACTAACATTGGCATTTTCTTATAGGTAAAATCATCCATATTTTCTTTCAAGCTCTGGCACTTTAGTGAAATGTACTGAAAGAAACCAGACTAGTTGCTATGAACAACTAAAAATAACATCTAAGAGTTTATTTGTAAACTATGCCCTAGTTGTACAAAACACTGGAAGAATGATTAACAATTTTATATTCAAGTCCTCTACAAGATCTTAGAAAGTACTTAAAACTTGAATGATGGTTACCTTAAGGACACACTATATTCAGGATAAAAGATGCTTTTATACTGAACCCAGGACCCAGTCTCCTCTTCTGTATTCCAGTCTTCTATTGAAAAGAGATTGAACGAGGTGAACCTTCTTACAGACACTTGTTGGAGATGCACATCTTTCAAGTGCTTTTTCCTCAGAACCTTTGAAATGAAGAACAAATTAAACATTAAGAACAAAACTTTCAAGAACAGAAAAAAAAAAAAACCATGGGCTCATTTAACTCAAGAGGTAAAAYTGGCATCAACGATTACAGCTGTGGTATTAGCTAATAGCTATGAATAACTAATCCAAGTATGTCAAGTATGAAAAATACAGCAGTATTCGGAGTATGAGTCAGGAAAATGCGTTATGAATTTATYGTCTCAATAACTTTAGAGCAAATGTACTCCTGCTTACAACTGAGCAAAGTTGCATTTTTTTAACTTGCACTCGAGCAAACCCATGCTGGATTGATTATACAGGCTGGATTTTTCTTTTCGTTTTTTTTGTTCTTATTCTCTCCTCACATCATCGCTCCAAAGCAGGTTTCACAGTCTAGAGCAGGAGTGCCCTCACTAAGCACTTACTGCCACTATAGGTGCAAAAAAAACAAAGGAATTCAGTGGGATWTAAGTGACTAAGCACTAAAATATGACCCTCGAGGGCATGAGTTTTTCCCAGCTAAACTACTTCCCAGCTTAAATCTCTCCTGCTGCACACATCCAGAATGGCTGCTAAACYTACCCGAGTTGAGCAGCCTGCTATCTAAGACCCCAGACTATTTCAGAGTCCACAACCAGGTGCCTGAGGTTAGAAGGGGGCTGATGCATTAGCATTTAAGCAAGCCCCAAACACTTCGAGAGGAGGTAGAGCTCTGCAAGGAAGAAAGGAAGAGCCYTACAAGAGGAGGGGGGTTCTACAATTAACAGTTCCTCCATTCCCAGTTTTGGCAAAGTAGAGCTAAACCCAAAGTCAGGCAAGAARTAGCTCTTCAGAATTACAAATATCGAATCAGAAGATTTGCATCCTGGATGTGTGCAAGAAAATAATCAGTCAGTGATCTCACTGCCACACCGCAGCCTTTCCCAGTAGTGCTTGGACTGGAAATAACTCACAGCTAGCAGCCCTACAACGTGGGCACAGCACCTACTCCCTTGCAGAGTGCTTAGAAGTCCCATGCAGGTGAACAGAGCCAATACATTTGCTATATTTGCTATGTAAGCAGTTGGCTTCTCACAGCCACTCTGAGGGTCCAGAATCACCTGTGTTTGGGCCCATCTCCACTGGCACTAGAAGCAGTTTCATCAAGGTATTAAAAGTGGCTTGCCCATGCTATTGCTTCTACTTTTGTAATACATGGAAAAAAATACAGAATGATAAAGCAAATCCTAAAGTTGGGATGAGAGGAACCCATGTACACATTCTGAAAAAAAAAAGACTATTAAAACCAACAACTAGCCATTCTACCTACTCAATTGGCAAACATAGGAAAGCGGGCAAAGGATGATGTCCAGAAGAGAATCACCTTGCAATTAACCAAAATAGGTCTGAAAGCTGAAACTTCRACATGTTAAGCTATCACGTCTGACATAGCATTTTAACTATCTGCCACCTTCCTAATGGAGACAAAAATCCAGACGGCTCTTCATTATATACAGGTGCATTTTCCAGGTTTCAGATCAAATTTCCAGGCATAGTTTGCGCAAGATCCAGGCACGATGCCACGCTCACCACCCAGTGTGATGTGGAGATCAAGCCTGCATGGCATGCGGGCCAGAATTTGTTCTGTGCTGATCCAAATCAGGCACCTCAGCACCAACCACTTTCCTCCAGCCCAGAGGAGCACACACTACAGTGCCAAAGCATTAGATCCAGCTGTAGGTGCGTTCCCCAACTCGGCACAGATCCTGGAGCCATCAGCTGCATCCACACCAGCCTCCCCGTGCTTCAGGACAGCTCAGCCAGACTTTTATAACACAAATACAGGAGCAGTCACCATCCTTATTTTCTTTTGTACTTTGCTTTATAAATCCTGAAACTAAAAGGAGGGTTGACTCATGTTTAGGCACTAGGCCTGCTCTCTCCAAAGCAATCAAAATCCATAATCCTGCCAAATTACCTCAAACCAAGCTGTCCAAYGCTGCCCATCGCATTGTAGCAGCCTGGGCTCCACTTGCTTGTTYGTTACTGTGTGTTTCGGAGGGCACTTCAAAAGCAGGAAGGAGAAAAACAAGAGCTACCTGGTAAGAGGCTCCTTGCACAGCCTTGGGACTGCAGCTCCCCAGCCTGAGGAGACCCGGGTGAGAACAAAGCAGCTGGCTGGATGCAAGGCTGGGTGTTAACCTGGGCTGAACCAAAGCTCCTGGAGSTCAAGAAAGCCATGGTGGGGTAGGGTGCATTTTGTAAAGGTCAGCAAAGTTACCCTGTGACAGCCACCTCTTGAGCTGCAGTTAGCAGGGAAGCAAGAGGCGCTCTCTCCTGGAGCACTGCACAGAGTCCTCCGCAGCAGCCTGGTCCTGCTGACACCACATGCMATGGGACCGTTCAGCACAAGGTCTGTGATGTAAAACTGTCCCCCGTCAAGTAAACCTCATCCTTCTTGGGGTTAAGTATGGCATTTTCAAATGAATGTATGGAAACTAGTAAATTATCACGTGCCATTGGATGAAAAGCTTCTCTAATGAGGCATTTCCATTTAAAAATTCAAGTATACTCAGCGTATCATAATTAGAGCATGAAAAAGCCTTCTCATCATTAAAACACACAGCATTTTCAAATGCTTGAAAATATTGCTTAATCTAGAAAGATTCTAGCAAACTATTATCATGGATTAAAATCACAGGGTCCTGGGTATTTAATCACTACATTAGGATACAGGCATTAGTCCATGTTTTGGACTATAAAACCTAAAACTCTATAAACAATATAGATACTTGATTGGCATTCAGAAAATATTTAGGAAGAAASGCAGTCACCTGAAATTTACTGTCCTTCCTCCATCRCATGGGCTTATTAAGTCAAATTAAGAAATTAAGTTATAATTGATATTTTATGCAACTCCCTTCAGTTAACTGGCACTATCTGGAACATAATAATTGGCATATGCAGGAAAATGGCTAAATGATTAGTTATAACATCTCTGTATACAATCTGTGTAGGATTCTGTGCATATACATATATATATATGGTATGTGTATAAAYAAACATTTATTTACTTTACAAATAGTTCATTTACCAAATTTACTAGGCAATTTACAAGCTTAGACTAACAAAGATATGGAAAAAGACTTGAAACACACACATCCTTTGCAGAGAGAGAAAGCACAAAAAGAAAAGCTTTTAATAAGGTTTTTCAGTTTAGACAGGACACAGCCAATGCCCTCTCCTCATTTATTATYTATTTTTTTAATCCTGGGAATAGAAATCAATTAACCAGACCCCATAAAAAAAAAAAATCTGTGAGAAGGACTGTGAGCAGAACAAGATGAAGACAATGGCACAGCAAGTTTACAGATTTCAGGAAAGTTTTTCTTAAACTTTCATCAGGGAAGAGTGGGATCAAGCGGCATCCTGCATGTCCCAGCGGGAACAGGGACAGCAGGATCCAAATCCCTCTCTCCCTGGACACATCATGATGCACTTTATTGAACTTGGTGTTTGCCCCTTCTCCAGTTTCTCTGTTAAACACAGTGGCTAAAGCTGCCAGCCACGCAGAGTGAGGAGTTCAAACACAGCTTCCCAGAACTTATTCAGTCCTTTTTAACACATACTATGTATGTAACTCACCACAGCATTTGGCTAATAACAATATATTCCGTGATTCTGACAAGCTATATTAAAAAGTACTGCCAAACATCAAACTTGATATATATGTTATTAATATATTTACATATGTATGTATGTAAAGTTCTATATTTACATATATATATGTAAAATCCTAGTTCTTTATGCTCGCTTCATAGGATATCTGATAAAGGGGCTTTTTTCTTAATTAAATCAGCGCACACTCAAGCGTCCTTCCCACAGCAAATCAATTTGTGCATGCACTGAACAAGCGCACATTCAGTATATGAACACACCGCAGCACCGATCTCCAGTAAGGGGTTGTTATTAGCAGTATGAAAAGCATTTTAAAAGCCCTGTAAGAAATACTTCAGTGGTGCTCCTTWAGAGGAGGGTATAAGGAAGGTGGCACCTTCCTCCTCTCCAGGGACACATCTGCAGCAAGGAGGGCGCTTCTGCTTCTTGCTTCACATGGATCACTAAGACTGCGTTGATCCGTGCTCACGGAGCACACGCAAGCGACAGGAAAACTGAAGAACGTGGAAAACCAGCGATTCTGCAGAGGGAAGTTTCGGGCAYGGGCAGCTTGGAGATGGAGCCGCCTGTCTGCCCCTCCCCAGCCCCATCCCTGTCCCGGGACAGCTTCCCGACCACAGCCCGAGGGGGAACGGCTCTCCCTGCGGCACGGGGAGCATATATCTCTATAGGCATGTATATAKCTCTATAGGGGTCTGTATGTACGCGCGTGGCTGCCGCTGTGAGGCGGCGCGCCGGCTTCCCGCCCAGCCCGCCCCCGGCGCGCAGCCCGCCCCCTCGCACGTTACAAGCTAACGGCAGCGCCCGGCCGCTAACGGCTGCAGCCGCCGCCGCCACGCGGGAGGCCGTTGTCCCCGGCCGTTGTCGCTGCCCGCGCCCCGACGGGACGGCAGGGCATCCCGGCAGAGAGCCCCTCTCTTCYCCGCGCCCCGCGGGCTCCCCCTACCTGTCCGAGCAGCCGCCATCGGGCCCTCGCTGCGGCGCCGGGGTGGCGCCGGGAGCCGGCGGCCTCGGCCATGCGGCGGCGCGCGGGGAGCCCGGCTCAGTGCGCGGCGAGCGGCGGCCCCGGGCGAGCCCCGCGCAGCTGCCCGCGCCGCGCGCTAGGACTAGGCGCAGCGCGAGCGGGGCGCCATCTTTACTAAGGGCAGGCGAAGCGCCCGGCGCGGCGCCCTACCCGCCCGTCCGCCCGAGGCGCCAGCGGGAGGGCAGCGCTTCCCGGCGCCGCCTCCGCGCTCCYTGCAGGCGCGCCTCGAGACGGCTCGGCCTGAGCGCCACGCGGGGAAACGGTGCCCGTGCGGCAAACGTGAGTGACCGCTCAGCGGCCGCCCGGCGCCCCGCGCTGCGCAGCCGCTGCCTGAAGCCCCCGCCGCCATGTTGACTAGGGGCAGGCCCCTTCCTGGCTGGCGCTGCCTGCCATCTTAGCCGGGGGCAGCGGCCCGCGGGCAAGGAGCGCGGCTGGGGCCAGGCCGGACCGGGACGGGATGGGATGTCCCCCCTCCCCGCAGCTGGCGGGGGGACATCGGGGGTGTGCCCGGCGGCTCTGAGACACTGGCGTGTTCTGCTTATTCCTCCCACTCTGCCAGCGACTTGCGTCTGTTCCTTTGCTATTTGGTTACTTTCCTCGGATAAAGTGTTTTATGTTATTATTTAAAAAAACAAAAACAAACAAACAAAAAAAAACCCCAAAAACTCCCAGGAACTTTTTTGGTTTGGGTTTGTGAGCCTTTAGCCACGCACAGTTACATCTTCCTTCCCGCTCCCTCGCAGCTCCACCAGGGCTAACCCTGGGAAGCGCGTTTTGGGGAAAGGGGCCGCGTGGAAGTGACACGAGGCTCTTGTTACAAAGAAACAACTTCAGCTTCACTCCTGTCTGATTTCCTTAGCAGGTTATTTTGAAAGGTGCTACACTGTTGCTAATTTAGAAAGGCCTAGATACTTTTTTGTTAATGAGCATTTCCAATTTGCAGCATAAATAACCAGCGATTTGGGGACTCTCCAGAAATCTCAGGTTGATTGCTGAGACATGAAGATTTGGGCATCGCCTATGAGACTGCAAAACATTTTCCACGTGCTGAACTTGAGCATCAAATGCTGCCCTAAACCTGGCCATCTTCCAGCGATACCTCCCCACAGCCTAACACAGCCCCGGAGGTGCCTTATCCTAGAGGAGGCTGGAAGCACATGGAGCAGCGCGCTGCCACCAGGAAGCCTTCTGCACAGGAGAGGCTTCTCCTGCGAGGTAGGCAGTGAGGTAGGCATTAAGCTGAGGCTTAATGTCAGCAGCATCTTGACCCACCTGCTAAGGAAATCTGCCACGTTGCTTCAAATGTCAAGGAAAGTTCCCCCCTGCCAAAGGGTTTCAATGGAGCAGGGTACTAAATACTAGGATTTCAGCTATGATCAAAGGCATGTGGCTTTTCTCAAGCTTTCTAAGCTGCTTTGATGTCAAAGCACACTTGGGTTGATTTTGCTGGTGTAGCTTTTTTTTTTTTTTTTTTTTTTTTGTTTTCAATAGAATCCACCCAATAGATTCAGTTAAAGTGTCAAGTAATCTGTGGAGAGACATTACATAGTATAAAGTGCCCAAACTGATGATATCAGATTTAGCCACTGTGAGCTGGCTCTGGTGCTCGACCAATTTGACTCCTTCCACGCTGCCCTGGGAGTCACAATTTGCACCCTGTTAGAACATTTGATGTCTTACAGTGGCACTCATATGCACCAGAAGTTCTTTAAAAATACTTGGATTCATTTGCTTCATTTTTATAAGTATTGCTGAAAGAAGTTGTGGATCCTACAATTTTACATTGGCCTAACGGGAGACTCCCRATGTACATGAAAGGCAAGTTTCTACATATCCACTCTTAAATGTCCGGAGACTGCATTCAACTGGAGGAAATTCCGGCACTAAGATGAGTTGAATGTGAAGGAAAAACCTGCTGGGCAGCATGGTCGGTGCTTGCCACATTCTTACTCTTCCCTCAGCACCCAGTTGTGGCCACTGTGGGGTTTTGTGGGCTTCTCTTTGGGGGAACAGTGATTGCTTTTCTTACCAAGGCCATTCTTCCACTTCCATTTGTCTCCTCAATGGAGAGCACGTCTTTAGGTTTTAGGATTTATTTTCTTTCTGTTTGTTTATTTCCTTTTTGCTTGTTTCTTTTTTCTTTCTTGAGTTTCTTTGCCCTGTGCTTCTAACTAGATTAACTTTTGGTCTGAACCACTAAAAAGTGTTCATATATGCTCTTATGACTGATGCAGTTAACACTCACAAGGAGTTTAGATGATAGAGGCTTGGGAATGGAGGTTTTTGGAACTTTTTTTTTTTTTTTTTTTTTTTTTTTTTTAAACAGAGGAACTATTCATGATGCTAACTTTTAAATTCTCAAGCATTTGTGAAGACAAACCAGGAGCCAATGGTTACTGGCTGCAGAATGAGGATGGTGTATAAGTCTATGCTGGTGTTTAAGTTTAAAGACATTTCTGTAATATATTGAAAGCTATTTTGTGTGGTCTGTGCACTATTGCTACCTCAATATATGATATTTAACTAGCTATTTTACAGCAAGCAAATAGAACCATTTTTTTTTTGTATTAGCAGTTTTAACACATTTCCAACATTTTAGCAAGAGGAGACRTGACTTTGTTGACAGGTGGGTAGTGGTAGTAGTCTGCTCATGGCCCTGCCCAGAAAACTAGATCCATGAGCTTATTCTTAATTACAATAGCTGGAAAACTTCTAACCTAAGACAGGAAAATGATGAGAAAGCACCTCTGAAAAAAAAAAAGTAATACAATTCAATAAAAATTAACTGGAAAATCAGGTCTAAGACAAGAACAAAAAATCACATATAATCAAGAGTATACATTAACCTAAATTTTGGTTAAAAAAAAAAAAAGGACCTTAAAAAGATTTCAAAAGTACACTTGAAAATTCCCTCCTAATCGATCAGGAAGAACTGAAATTCTCATCCAAACTTTTTTTTTTCCCACTCCAAATGACTCATACACTGGGAGTAATGCAAAGTTATTTTGCCAGTATATGGCTAAGGAAAGATTATTATTATTATTACAYATTCTTATTTGAACCGACTACTGTCTTACAGTCACTGCTGGTTTTCCTTACCAGGAAGTGATGAAGGTTTCTCACAAAGGAAACAAAACCCCATCTGTAATCACATCAGAGCTTTTGTACACGGACCTTCTGAGAGCTGAGCAAGAAAACTGGAACAAAAACTCGGCAAGATACAAATCTAGGATAAAAAGAATCAAGCGAAAATTAGAGGAACTGCATGACAAATACACACTCAATTTAAGCAGCCCAATGGTAAGTAGTGGCAAATAATACCAAATATCCCAAGATATTGTATAAATAAGAGACAGTGAAGCCATTCCTGCCATAAAATCCCGTTTCACTGTTTATTTTATGGTGGTAGTTTTGATTTTTGAATGTTTGATTTTTGTTTTCTGGAGCAGCTAACTCCCTCATTCCCCCTTTTCTCTATCAGGTGTATGTGTTGTATTTCATTTGTGTGTATGTTATGTTTGTGTTTGATAGAACACTGACACATGTAGAGGTTCTAAGAAAAATACTCCAATCTTTAACAAAAGAACAAGATATATTTTACACAGGCATTAGACTTGAAATTAAACTTGAAACAAATGAAACACATTTGTTTTGCATTTAACAGATTAGGTTTGGAGAGAATGTGTACTTTGAAGACAATGGATGCATATTTCTTTCAAAAGCAGGTGATGGTAAGAGATTTCCTAACTCGGTATGACTGTGAAAAATATTCTGCATGTATCATTTTTTCATAAATTAAAGCATAATTGCTTGGTTTCTGGAAGTAATATAGCCACACTAGAAATAAAATATTTTGATAAAATTCATTAATGATTAGTAAATAATTTTAGAATCCTGAATCTGAAAAGTTGAGAAGTATTAGGGAATAGTATATACTGTTCTGAAACTACCACAGTAGATCACTCTAGGTATTTATCATCTTTAATGACTGTTTACAGTATTCCATTTTTACTAGGATGATACGTGTGACCCATCTTGTATTGCTTGGCAATATAAATACTATCTTAAAGCTTTCATCATAAATTGCTGTTGGGGGATGCTGGTAAGTTTCTGGAGAGAAAAGTCATTTCTCTTCAGCATCCTGGCTTAGAACTTTATAAAAGGCAAAGTACCTTCATCCATTTTGATTATTTTACAAAAAATGTTTTTGCAAGTATCTCCTAAAACAAATATTTGGTGCTAATAAATAGAAGTATACTACAGGCACACTTGTTAAGTCAAGTTACTGATTAYTAACCATGCCTGTTCATTTAGTCAATTCTCTAATTACAGCGTTCTTTGGTGCCTGTATTGTTTCATGCAGCAGATAAAGCAAGTGTTTTATTCAGTACTGAAGATCTTGGCTTTTCTGATGCCCATATCCAACGGATCAGAATTTCACCAGATCAGAGGTATATGGCTGTCAGCCTAAAAAGTGAAAATTCTGAAGAGGCAACCTGTGTTGTTGTGAAGCTTGATCGTTTTCCTGTTCTGGAGAAAGTCATTCCAAATTCCTTTAGTTTTGGTAAGTGGTTTACAAATATTCCATGGACCACACCAGCTTTCAGTAAAACATTTTTCTCAGTCAACAATAAGAAATTGCTGGTACTAGTTTTTAACAAAAGAAGGAGATAACCTTGCTGGATGTAATGCTTATAGCTGTTGAATTGTTTCTGGACTTGCCTTTGGACAGTAAAAGCAGGAGTTTTTTAGCTTTGCTTTCAGTAACACAGGATACTGTTCCAAATTTGATGCGCATTGGCCTTCTTTTCCAGAATGGGCTACAAGTGATGTTCTGTTTTACACAATTCAGAAGAATCTGAAATGCCAGGAAGTGTTTATGACTTCTTTCACTGATGAGAAACATACTAAATTAGTTTACTCAGAACAAGATGCAAGGTAAAACTTATCTAAAATAYATTAAGTTCACATATCCTAGAGTATTTTATATGTAAAATCTCTATATATTTTCTATAATATAAAAAAAACTTTTATATCCTATTCAAAAGGGTTGAAGTGATTTAAGTTGTTTTCTTTTCTCAGTATTGCCATATGTGGTCTGAGAATGTGCTCAGTTCTCTTGATTTGTGATCACTGAAGATTTAACTTTTCTCTGTTACCTCATGAGTTGAGCTGAGTTTATAAATGTCAAGGTCAGTTTCGGGTCAGGGTGTCCTTTAATGAAAGTGTGACAGTTCCATACAGAGTACATCAGACTGTGGATTTCATTTTGTTTTCTCTGCTATTGATGTCTGATGCATCTTTTAAAAAACAGAGAAGTTCAGGCGAATCCTTGCTCTGGGTAATGGATGGGCAAAATCATTATAGCATTCCCAGAGATGGAACTATTCTTGACTGAATACCCTCTCAATAACCTTTCTTTAAGCAGTGGGTTAGGAAGACAAGAAGGCTCTTGCTAAACTCTGTGCAGAACTCGTTTTTCAGTCATGTAGCCTGAAAAGATCAGATTTAGATGCCGCACTGTAAATATTTGTGATTAAACTCCATCCAAAGTTATAGCTGCAGTAACGAAATGTCCATTATTCTCTCAATCATCAGAGAGAGAGAGAGAGAGAGAGAGAGAGAGAGAGAGAGAGAAATCCACATCTGAGATGGAGTAAATAAGATCCTTTTTTCTGTTTGTGTTTAATACATACATTTTTATGAGCAAGATACACTGACCTGGCACTTCCCTACAGGGAAACTGTTGGCATAATTCAGAAGGTCACAGTCATTACAGCAAATCTAATAGAAACTTACTCTAAAGGCTCACCTACCAGTGCAGCTTGTGCTGTAACTGAACTCACTTGCGGTGGGAGAAGGCAAGGCATTCCTTTGTATGGCCATTGAACAGTTCTGTTCTGTATCTTACTCTCTCTTTTACTTGCAATCAAATACATTTCAGAGGCTGAAGATTGCTTTTTCTTTTTAATGAAAAAAAAATAAAAATTGACAACTCCAAAAACTATTGTGGTGCCAACGCCTGGGTTCTTGGGAGGAAGCTTCAACTTTCTCAGGAGCAGCCTGTGTTTCAGCTCAACTCCTTTAGAAACAAGGTCAGTAGAGCTGACCTGCTTCAGAAACTCAGCTATTCCTGCCCTCCTAAAGATGTCAAGAGGGTGTAAATAGGAAAAGCAGYAATTAATATTTTGAAGCCTAAGTGGATCACTGCTGCGGTCATGTAACCTGCCCTGGGTAACACAGATTAGGATACTCAGACCTGCACTTGCTTCATGAAAGCTGCTTGGTGACGGAGCTGGTTTTGCACTTMGATATTCACTCCGAGAGATTCAAAATCAAAGTGCTGTGTCCCTGCTAGGTCATTCCATTAGTCATTCATCTAGAAATAGGAATTTGACTTTCAGCCTGAACCTGTCTAGTATTGGCATCCAGCCACTGCCTATCATTCTGTTTTCTGTTGCTATCTTTTAGAAAAAAATAAAAGCAGGTATTTCCTTGGGCTCTGATATTTTGGGATATTCATGTAACTTCTTATTAGCGTGGAGGAAAAAGCCTTATTTTTCCAGACCGAGTTASTTTTTCTGCATGCTTTGCAAAGCTATATATAAATTTAATATAGGCACAAAAAATATTTCATTAGTTCTGCATATGGAAATAGTATCATTACCCTTCCCTTACTGGTATTTGGCTTACAGGTCTGTGTGATCTCAAAGGTGGAATATAGCTGTGTGAGTAAAGCTGCTTTTCTTTGAACTATCTAATATTAAGTTTTGTATAGGTTCTATAATTTTAGTATCTATCACTTGATGTTTGTCAGCTTTCAGTAAAATTACTCCTAAACATAACAAATGTCTGTTTTATTCTGACTTAACTGTACAGGAAAAAAAGTAGAGGGGAGATAGCTTCAGGGAAACTTTGCCTTTTCCTTTTTCTCCATGTTTATATACATTAAACCTTAAAGAGATATAATCAAGGCTGTCAAGAAAATAATAGTTTTTTAAAAATTTACTTTCTCATGCCCACTGTTTATCCAATCAGCCTGAAATCATAAAAGCAGCACTGAACTGAATCATACCCAAAGCTAAGCAACATTRTTATCAGTTTTTCTTTTTTTCAAGAGTATGTTGCTTTCTATAACTTTGTCTCCCTGTGTGACTTTTTGTTTCCTCAGGCAATTCCTTTCCTTGCTTGCCGCTTTATCGCTTCAACACTGTTCATCTTGTTTTATATAGGCTTCTGTGATCTTTTTAAAAGTTCCTGTTTTTCTGGATTTTTTTTTTCTATTCCCATCCTTTATTAATTTGAATCGTCCTTTATTACGTCTTCTTGAAAAAGGCTTACTAGTTCAATAAAGACTTCTAGATTTTGCATGATTTTTACAGCCTGTATACAACTGTGACCTTTCAGTCCACCTCAGCAATGCAAAAACACTAATTCAGTTGGGCAACAACTGAACTGCTCTCTTTGCAGGTTTCAGGCTGCAYGCACAAAAGGGGTTTCCTGAATCCCAGGAAAAATACTACAGAGAAATACTACAGACGTGGGTTTGGGAACCACTCATTGTAGAATTTCTCCAGTCTAGTTACAGGCCTGCAATCTCTTACCTGGTTGCTTCAGAATCATTTTTTTTATACTATTTACTTATTTTCCTTTTTTTTTTTTTTTTTTTAAACCACAGTGTGATCTATTTTTTAAAATGTTAATCAGTTTATAAGCTTAGGATTTTATTTTATTTTTGCAGATTTTTTGTAGACATATATTGCACGAAGGACAGACGTTTTCTTACCATCAACAGCAACAGCAAGACAACCTCAGAAGTGTGGCTGGTTGACTGTAGTCATCCTTTTAAGTCACCTGTTCTTGTGCAAGCACGAACAAAAGGGGTCATTTATCACGTGGAGCACAGAAATGATGAGTTATATATTCTTACTACATATGGAGAGCCTGCAGAGTATAAGGTAGTCTTACCAGTTAATAAGATTAGTTGTGCTCATTCAGATGCATGTGATCCACAGTTCTGTGGACCCACAGTTTACTGAAATAATTTAAGAAAGTGACACATGCCGAGAATTGCATCTCTTCAAAAGCTGACAGTATGAGGTGGAATCTTTCACCTGTGTCCTGCTGAATTGACTCTAACTCATCTGGTAACAAATGGGAATGATTTTSCTTTACGTGCCATTTGTCTTGCATTTAAATAAGTTGGTGATTTCAGTCCATATAACCAAACAGCCTGCACCTCAACTGGCCACACCAAAAGCATTTATTACGTGTAATATATGAGAATGAAACTGACCTTTACAGGTTTTTCAGGAATTTACTTCTGCCCATGCTGATTTTCCAGTCACATTCCAGTGTTTTCACTGGCTGCTTTTCCTTCATAATGGTATCTCAGAGAGTTTACCAAGACTTACMGAGCAGAAATGCTGTCCTGCTCTGAGGACAGGTCCTTCTTTTGTACGTAGTGCACAGGTGGGAAGTGCTGACCTTCAGATAGGAAAACGTCACCTTCTGTCAACATGGTATGTTCCTTTTCTGCTGTGAAAGGAACTTATTCTGAAGCTTTGACGGAAGCTTCCTAAAGATGGTTAAAAGATATTTTAAACTTGAAAAAGGCCTCTTTTAGAAATAAGATTAATTTCCAGTTATTTTAAAAGGTCTTCGCAGAACAGGCCCTTCCTCCCGAGGTCACTTTCAACAAACCTTGTTTGGAAAGGGGAGGCTGGAAAGCCCTGGTGGAGCTAAAGGCAGAAGAATGAGAGAACCACAGTAGGAGGAGSTTGAAGACTGGAGCTCAAACGGAGAGACTGTGACTACTTAGATGAGCAGGCAGCAGAACCCACCTTTCCAGAGGCACCCTACCTACTCTGCCCTGATACCCCATCCCAGGGTACTCTGCCAACCAACTCTTCTTGAAAGAGTGCAATAGAGTTGCCAAAACAAGGCTGTCACACAGATCTTGCCTGCTGTCAGTAAAGGAAATTTAAAAGCTTACGACTTTCCCTATAAAAATGCTATACAGGATCATATGTATTTCTGTACATCTCATAACTCTTATTGCATCTCTTTATAACACAGGGTTGTTCTTTTTTGCTTTTGTAGCTGATGAAGGCACCAGTAGCTTCCAGTGGCATGGAGAACTGGCAGTTATTTTATGCATTGGAGGAAAAGACCAAGCTAATAGACTTGGAGATGTTCAGTAATCACTGCGTTATGTTCTTGCAGCGCAACAGACACCTCTGTTTAGATGTGATTTCTTTTCTTTCTCATTCAGTTCAGTCAATTAAGGTATGTGTATTAAACRTAATCACTTTTTCTTTTTTCAGCACTTTTTTTTTTGTATAACACTATACTAAAAGCAAAGGTAAAATTCAGGAGTCAGTGTGCTAAGGAAACTATGATAGTGACAAATCTGTCATCATGACTAATTGTAGTACATGAGGGTGTTCTTCAGGATGTCACGTGGTGGATTATTGTAGCACTTAAAGTTTCAAAGCAGCTATACTGTGAGTCAGTTCTTTTTCAGTTTATTACTGTCAGGGTTTTTACTGTATGGCCATTTTTTATGTACTGTTTTATAGTACTTGATTCCCTACACACTTTCCTTAGTTTTATTAGGCTTATTTTTGGTTCCATGCCTCAGTCTAAGCAAAGAAATAAGCCTGGCTCTCCTGGAGGGGAGAGATTAGAACATTCACAACGTAAATATGGACACCATGGCCTGCTAAATGGCAGAACTGGTACCGTGGTTCTCCTTTGAATGTATTTCTTCCCTTTTCCAGTTGTTGGTAAGTTCTTGCTGATTAAAGAGAAGGTGACTCAATTCAAAAACCTATTTTCTGGAAACCATTCAGCCGAATTATTTTATATTTTTTCAGGGCAACAAACCAGTCTGCATAACTCATATGTTTACTGAAACACGTTACCAATGGTATATTCTATAAAACTGCTATAGATCAAGGTTTTTAAACATGATACTCTGTTATGGTCTCTGAAATCTTTGATTTTTAGAAACAGTTTTAGTTTATTTATTCAGAAAAGGGCTACAGTGCTGTAGAACTTTGACTTTTGCTGCCATTTCAGAAGATTCTAGCAGCCTAACCCAAGTAAACCATGGCCTGGCAGAGGGTTTGACTAAGTCCCTGCTGTTCTCAAAGAATGAATCTTGATTTCTTTTATTCGAAGCAGAGYTAAAAATCTTGCATATAATAGCAGTAAGTGTCTGAGGGGGAATGTGCCAGGAAAAGGTTTTGTTCTTCACAATGGCTGGCCCTAGGCACAAAGTTAAGAGGCAGGGCTTTGGAGTGGCTTAGCATTACTGAGCTACCTCCCAGCAAAGCCATAACAACTGATAGCAACTTGGCTGTACAACGCGTTGAAGGAGAGCTGGAAACCAGAGGGGAAATAAGACCTAAAATTCAAAAACAATGCAGAATTTATTTGAAATGTTCTCTTTAAAATGTTACAGTGCCCCTCTACACTAGATTTGAGTTTGGATTTGTTTCTAGCTTAGTTCATCGTTGAAGTTCTTCCTTAAGACCACTCCATGAAGTCTTTCACTTTCTGATTGTTTCAGTATTGAATTTTAAAGACAGACTGTTTGTGCTAGATACAAACTGAAGATAATTAGCTTGGCACTCAGAATCTTTGCCTCTGAAGGACATGCTAGGCTAAGTTTAGAAGCAGTGTAAGGCTCTCACTTCAAATGCTCTGTTTTCTCAGCTGCCTACGTGGGCCTGTGCCTTTGAATTGGAGTCTCATCCTGAACACAGCACCAGCACTTGCTATTTTCAGCTCACCTCCCCAGTACAGCCCCCCAAGCGCTTTGCCTATTCATTTAAAGCAAATAATCTCATTGAGCAGGCTGAGCAAGAGGTACCAATTATTAAGAATTGTCACACTACACGTTTACTTGCTAAAAGCAAGGTAAGGTTTTTGCAGTCCTTTTCCTGTTCCCTTTATTCTTCCCTTCCTCCTCTCCCTTTTAAAGAAAATGCATTTGGCAGGGAATAGAGATTTAGAAAAATATAAGGAGCGGTTAGTGCTATAGTTGCTAAACAGTGGGTGTTTTCTTCAGTGGTATAGAAAAGAACAAGTCGTGATAAAGGGTTTTTTTTTTTTAAATAATCGGGGTGTGCGAGAAGAGATAACAGCACCTGATGAGTCAAGAAGCTTTGCATAACATAACTTGAACTTGCTAGCTGATGGATGGYATCATATCCTATGGGATAAAAAAGAATGCCAGTGCTTGAAAAGAACACTCCGTAACCGTCACCACAGTACAAAGCAAGAAAGGGCAGTTTTAACCAGCCTGAGCATAAAAAAAATGGATATGTTAATAAGGAGTTTATGCTGCAGTAAGTGGTAAACTGTTTTGTTAATAATAGATATTCTTGGTGCTAAAGAGGGAAGGAAGACTTGGGTGCTTTGATAGTKTAAAAACACCTCAGGTGTTGCACTTAAATGAATTTTATACTCTGCATCTGTAAGTCTACACAGCAGAGGTTCARCCTCTTGCTTTATTTTTCAAGAGTGCTTTGTGCAATCTAAGTGAAAAAATTACTGTAATCAAAAAAAAACACATTTTAAAATAAATAATTGAAGTTTTCATTGCCCTGTATCATTGAGATTTCTAAAATATCCTTCATTGTAAAATACTCCTTCATTTCCAGGATGAAACTTCGGTGCCAATTACAGTTTTTCATAATACAAAGTCTAAAGAACTGCACAGGAAACCACTTCTAGTTCATGTATATGGAGCTTATGGCATAGATTTGAACATGAGCTTTAAAGAAGAGAAGCTGATGTTAATTGAAGAGGGTTGGATATTAGCATATTGCCATGTTAGGTAAGCCAAATATAAAGTGAAATTAAGATTTTTTTTTTTTTTTTAAATGGGACACAGTTGACATGAAACTGAGCAGGTACATAATGTTTTTTCATGTAGCTGTACCTGCTCCTTCATGCTGTTCGCTTTATTCACTCTGTTTCTAGAATGGTTAAGCAGTTTTAACAAAAAGTAAATTTTGCTGAGAATATACATATATATATATATATGTATTTAGAAAATAACATACTAGGTTCGCAATTCTCAAGTGAACAGTATAGCTGCATTTAGCTTAACATACCTGGGACCTTCTCCTCTTGTCCTTGCCTGGAGATGTTTTGAATGCGTCTTCAAATTGCAGTGTTGTGCTACCACCCTCTCCTTCCTGGGGTATTGTGTGATACCAAACTCCTATTTGATCTGCTTTCTAAAAAGCTTTTGTCTTTCTGCAACAGTAAGGAAGGGTTTAACCTGCACCTCTTGTTCTTTTATTGGCCGAATCCCCTGTTTAGCTACAAACCCGCTAGTTTAATGAAACCCCTGTGTACAGCAGGCTTCACGTTTTCTTTTAGATAATAGTGCAGTGGATGAAGATAACAAAGGACTCACTTCAGTGAGGAGAAGGAAGAGGGGGAATTGAACAATCGTTTGAAATAAGCCCTGCCAAAATAAATTCAGCATACAAATATATTCAGCCTTACAATGCAGTGGGAAGCGCATGCAGCTCTTCCTCCCACAGCTGTCTCTTGGCACAAGTGGATCCTCTTTATTTTACAGTGGCAGCACCGAAGAGGAAGAGTACCAAAGGGGCAGTTAATGCGCTCAGAACTCGAATAAGTTAACTCCTTGTGTGGAAAGGAACATAAATTGCATTTTAGCTCTGAATATTACAACCTGCAGAGTTTCATGTAGTATTCAAAATTCAGAAATGAGACAAAAAATAAAATTAACTGGCAGCTTCATAACTTAAGTTTCACAAAAGGCAAAGTCTGAGTGTTTCATTGAGGAGCTGAGCAATATTCCCACCTCTCTCAAGGAGCATCACTGATGGGAGGAGGAAAGCAGCACTTCCCAAAGTGCTTTTTCCCAATGAGTCCCAGGTATAAGCACACAGGGAGCGGGGTGCAGAGGGAGCCCTGRTGCTCTTTGGGTTTTCACCACTCATCACACAAGGATTTTTTTTCAATTTATGCYTGTATATTTCTTCCATAAAGGACAATAAAGACGGAAATAAAAGGAAGAGTTAACTGGGAAAGCAAGCTGGTTTTGCTCCATTAGCTGGGTGGCTTCATTAGCTAAAGCTTTGCTGCTTAATGTTTTCCAGAGAATCTCCCAACTTGAACTGTTTTAATTTCAGGGGTGGGGGAGAGCTCGGCCTTAGCTGGCACAAGGATGGCTGTCAGCACAAAAAGCTCAAAGGCCTCCACGACCTCCAGGCTTGCATAACRTTGCTGCACGAACTGGGATTTTCTCAGCCAAAGTCGACAGCAGTAGCAGCCGCCAGTGCTGGGGGAGTCCTTGCAGGAGCTCTGTGCAACACAGATCCAGAACTCATCAGAGCCGTGGTCTTGCAGGTGAGGTGACACGTTTCCCTTCTGGAAAATGAGGCTGAACTGTTTCTGTTTTGACTCGCCTGTCAAACAGGAAACATTTGGAAACATTTCAGTCCAAAAAACATTTGGAAACATTTCAGTCCAAAATCATAATTTTCATTCGTTTGAAAATACCTTGTCGTTGGTATTTGAGTTCCTGTCGTGTTTGCCAACTTCCTTCTTCTTCTTTTTTTTTTTTTTTTTTTTTTTTTAAACAACTCTTAAGGCTCCTTTCCTAGATGTTCTAAATACTATGTTGAAAACTCATCTCCCACTGACAATCGAAGAACAGGAAGAATGGGGAAATCCATTAGCAGATGAAAATACTATGRAGTATATMAAAAACTATTGTCCTTACCAGAATATTAAGCCACAGGTAAAATTKCCCCCCCCCCCCCCCTTTTTTTTTGGTCAAATTCTGTAGTAATGAAAGGATAGTAATTGCTAGGAAAATAATGAAAAGTGGGTAACTGGAATTTCTTAAAATTATATTTTACCTTTTTGGTGCTTTAAACTTCAACACTTAGGCTGAGCTTACACTAAACTGAATCATTAGTACAAACAGAAATTATTTCTGTAATAATAAAGTAGTTGGGGTCATGATGACTGTTGAAATTAACTAAACTCCTTCCCTTAAATGATCACTTGCCTTTAAAAGCTGTTTTTATTATAGCACAGCCATGAAGTCAGGTTTTTAACAGATGATTGTACAACCCATACCAAAGTGTGAAATACTTTTTTTCTTTTGTGTGGAAGTTCCATTGTTCTGCTGGCTTTTCCAGACTTCCTGCCAAGAGCAAGGAGGTATTTTCCACAAAGAAAATACACTTTATCAACAGTGTAAGAGGAAAAGGAGTTATGGCTTTGATACTGTTATCTCAGAGGAAATTTGACTTCAGTTGAAGTGATGAGCTAGCTGTGTTATATAGATTCATTAATAAGCCAAAYCTTACTCATATCAAAATAGCTATTTTGATAGCTACTTTAGTAGTATTAGCCTTGCAAAAATACATCTGAGCAGCTGCTCTGACTGCTTAAGGTCAGAATAGTCCATTACTGCTGTCCCTTTCTCTGGTAAGCTGCAGCAAACAGACTGCATGAGCCCTGTAGGAGTGGGGAGAGGATTTGTGGTGTTGTGCACCTATAGCACATAGATGATCCCCCAATACGGACCTGTCATTTTCGGACCAAAGTAAGCATTTTTTTCTATTAAAGTTGTAATATTTTTTTAAGCAGATAATTATGTAATAGTTACATTTTAGATAAACATAACAAGTAGTACAGTAACATATATGGATAAAAAAATGTTAGTCACTTTATGGGTAAATTGTCAAGTATTTAACTTTTTTTCCCTCTAATTTCAGCCTTATCCTTCAGTTTTTATCACAGCTTATGAAAATGATCAACGAGTACCACTAACAGGAATTTTAAGATATGTTCAAAAACTTAGGAAGGCTGCAAGAGATTATGCCAGCAGAACAGAAAGGAAAGGTGAGAAAAATGCTACAGCTACTTGAAGCTAATAATCCAAAGATCAATAGTCCTAACTAGGCAGCAGTATGGAGTTCAGCTGCTCCTCATTAAGTGCCTTCACTTGTACCTGTGCCCCAGTATCCAGCTCTCTCGGGTGGTTTCTGGTACGTGCCAGGATGAGACGTGCAGTCACGGGGGCAGATGGACAAGCCTCAGCTTCTGAGATGCGCTCTCCAGAGCCCCGAGAGGCACCACCAGCGCTGCAGACCTTCTTGCAGATGGTTAAATCAGGGTGTTAAGGCAAACTACAGCAGGTTCTGGAAACCCTGTGAGCTGAAGCAAGCTTTAGTCGGGGAGGATTTTAGTGGGGATTGCTCTTCCATAGGCTCTATTGGATGGCTGCTGGCGGGACTGCTGGACAGGGCTAGGTGAACCCATAGTCCAACTACTGTTCTGATTATAGAGCAGCTCTCAAAAGCATCTTGATAAAATCCTGTTTGTATACTCTACAAGAAGGCTCTTTTCCCAGCTTACTGAAACTGCAGACAACAGTCAAGTTAGAATGACAGTTAGGCCCAGATATAGATATTTTTATACCTGAGACTTAGCACCATTGCTGGGAGTATTTCCAGGAAAAGCTGCCTTCTTCAAGCCCTGTTATTTGGCAGTACCATCTAATATCGTGGGAGGCTTCTACTACCAGGCCCAAATAGCTCTTAGATTTGCTTCTCTAAATTTCATTATGGCCCTGCTCTGCTGGCAGCCCATTGCAAAGGCTGCAAAGGAAGAGCTGATGCTGCAGCTGCTGCCTTCGGGCAGAAAGAGAAAGCCCACTTTGGTTCCAGAGACCCAGAGAATAAACATAGAGAGTAGATGTATAAACATTTTCCAAAATTGTGGTTAACAAATGCAGCTAATTCATAGAGGAAGCCTCTGAGCCTTTTTCTTTCCAAAGGAACAGAGAAATTCTGCCAAGATGGAAGGCAGAATCATCTACTCTTAAAGACTTCACATCCCGCTTTCCCTTTCCTCGTTCATCCAGTGTTCAGTGACCACTGACGAGGTTTTTGTTTCAGGAAACTGGACCCCTAACATCATCTTAGACGTCCAGGCAAGGGGCAGTCACTGCGACGCCTCGTGGGAGGATTCCCTAAAGCAGGTATCCCCTTTACTGCCCTCTTCCAGAGCACGTGGCCTGCTGGCCTTGCACTTCACGCTGAAGTCTCAATAGCTCCTGCAATTATGGCAGGGAGTTTGCAGTGATTAAAAGAAAAAGTGCTGGAATTAAGGTTGCTGCTGCCTAGGTAGAAATAAGAGTTAATGGCAGAGCCAGATACTGAACCTCATGGTTCCTCAAATCTCAAAATATTTTTAAACCCCCATTGTAACATGCCCAGAGCTTTGAATAAAAGATTAAGTTGTGGAGAATGTGATTCTAGCAAAAACTCTTGCGCCGTATGCTTAAAAGCTTAAAGTTGTTCTGCTGATCTTTCATTTGCTTCCATCTTCCTCAGGAGGAAAAGAGGTATGATGGGTTTGATTCTTTACRTTTTGGCCGGCATCATCTCTATTAAGGATTGAGTGGTTCATGTTTTCTGCAAATGCATATGCTAAAATACAACATCCTGCCTAGCCTGCCTTCTTGCTACTGCTATCTGAGACTCTCACATTTGGGCACAGATCTTGTTTGTTACGRTTATTTTTTACAATTCCCAATAACTGGCAGGTGTGGCAGTATTTTTCCCTAAATTAATGCTGTAGGGAAAGACCTTGTTTTGCTTAAAGACAACTTGACTACTTGTCATAAATATGGGAAAGGAAGATTAGCACAGCTCTACCTGAAGAACTTGTGTTGTTTGTAATAAAATGTTTTCATTGTTTTAGGTTGCAAGACACATTGCTTTTCTGAGCAAAGAACTTGATAACGAATAAGGTGCTCTCTGCAGCRAGGCATTACATCAAATCCTGCACCTGGCCGACAGACACATCAACCACCTGGAAAAATTTCACATCGGATTTGTATTTATATGGAGAGCAGAAATCCCTTTAAATCCCTTTTTTCCTTCTTGGGTCCCTGTTTTCTGGACACAAGCAGACCAGAAATTTGTGTGTGGCTTCTAAATATACAAAATGAGCATTAACTTTCTTCTGGCAGTCAGCACAGAAGCAGCCTCCCGCGTTACCCAGGTAGGTCAGGACAGCTCTGCGCGCCACAGCGAGGAGCACAGGGCTGCAGTGCAAAGGCCTCGGCGCTGGAAGCTCGAGGTGAGAGGAGATGAACTTTGCCCAGGCAGCCGGGCCCCCGAGAGCTCCGCTCCGGGCCAGGACCTGACACGAGGCAGGACAACGGGGTTCCTGGCTCGGTGACCTCTTGCACCAACCCGCCCCGTGATGTTTATCAGAGCAGATGCCTAGTGCACACCTAGTACTGCTACAGACTGCACTGCGTGCCCATAAAGTCTGCAGGCCAAAACCACAGGCACCAGCTTAACGCCCCCTCCTTCCTTTGTAGCACGGAAGCTACTACTGGAGATGCACCAAATGCAAATCAAAATAAATTAAAAAAAATACAAAAAGGGGATATTCAGTGGAGTTATTAGAGTTGCAAACTCTGAACTGCAGCTGGTGCATCCACGCCAGTTGCACCCTCCATCCTTTGGGTAAAAAAAAAAAAAAA